TTTCAATATTGAAGATCTGTTTCTATTACCTATCAAAATGATTCCTGAAAAGCCCATAAGAAAAGAACGACTGCAGCAACATGCAAAAATTATGACATCAACACCCGTCCAAGATAACCTTGTTGAAAAAGAAAATAAGAAAGCATCTAGAACTGCAAAAGGACTTATTCCGAAAGCTAGCAAGAAGCAGAAATCTAAGAAAGATATTGCGAATAAGGCCAAAAGGAACGTACTTCAAGATCGAAACAGTTCTTCATAATCAGATATTAGTCTTAATCAGATATGTGACGATGATGAAGACGACGATTTCAATAAATGTTTGGTATGTGATGAATTTGGTCGCAATAATGAGTTATGGTACAGATACACTTCTTGTGGCTTATGGGCACACGCAAGTGGCACAGGATGGGACTCGCCAAAAGGTTACGTATCTAACAATTGTTAGGCTAGGCTCACTCTCATTGTCCTCATAGTGACTATAATTATCCTCAGATATGGACAATGGTGGTCAAAGATGTTTTTTTAAGTATAATGTTAATCAATATACAGGGTGGCGCATCGAAAACGAAACACGCATTTACTGGCAGCTCAGTTTTTTTTTTGAAAAACGCTCAAACCCGTCGATTTTGTTTTCGAAGGGGACACAAGTTTTGGAAAAAAATCACGTTAACACGTGCAGTCACCTGAGCGGGGGTGACCCCACCCCCAAAATCTTAAACAGAAAGGGGGGTCGAGTGATACCTCATTTTAAAGGTCTTTCAATTCCCTTTATAATGATATAAAATTAATGTACTTCAGTTCAGTAGTTTTGAAGATTTATTGATTTAAAATTAAATAAAACTAATACATCATCATTAGTGGAGATCAATACATTTGGCAGCAAAGTAATTTAAAAATGAAGAATGAACTGACCCGTTAGGCAAGTAAATGTTGAAAATGGCCACCATGACTCTCGATAGAATAATAAAGATTTTGCTCAAAGCGCTGCCGCACATTTTGCAATATTTGACGAGTAATTTGAAGGCACTCATTCACAATTCTTTGTCGCAGGTCTTCTAATGATGTTGGCTGAGTAGCATAGATTTTGCTTTTTAAATGACCCCACATAAAGAAATCCAAAGGTGATAAATCTGGCGATCTTGAGGGACATTCAATGGCACCTCTTCTACCAATCCATCGATCTGGAAACGTCTGATCTAAATATTGTCGAACACGTAATGCTTGTGATAGCAAATTCCACCTGGCTGGTGATAACTATGGAACAGGACTGTACGTATGAACATGACCGGTTAGGAAACCACCAAAGTTCTAATGTTCAGTAATAACGGAAGTTAAATATCATTATGCCCGATTAACGTTACATTTTGCATAGGTGGCACTCGAACAGCAGGGCGCTCTGGATTGTGTTGTCTTAAAGGCCATGTAGTCTGTTTCGATAGATGACCACGATGATGCGGCGACCTTAGTATAATTAATGTTCACGTGTTCCAAGGCTGACATTTCGAGGGTAGGTCTTGTTGATGACGATAGATGAATAAATTTTGTTCTATTCTAGCCACCTAAGGTGAACCAGGTGAGGTAGCGGAAGCCATAATACAAATTGTCGCACGCAGGGATGCGTGCTTGGTCTGTGTTCAGCAACATGTGAGCTGTTCATTAACTGCAAGTGGCAATACTCTTATCTTCTAGGTTCAAAGAAGGGAGAGGAGTGCATGCTGGCAGATATTCACATTAAAGTAAAGAACTCAGGAATATTCTCACAGAGGCTTCCATAGATATCTTGTTCTTCGATGTAGGTCTGACCAAGTAAGTCAATTCTAAATGGAAATCAGCTAAACTGAGCACCAACTGAAGGCCAAAAGGCCAGACAACGTTCTGACAACATCAACCCTTTATTGCAGATAAGGTGTGTAGATCAGCATAGACTTTGACGCGTCTTCATCATCAATGGCAGAGCTTGAGGAGTGGCGCTAAAGTCCTGAGTTGGACTCAAGTGGTCACTTGCCATTCAGATGGCGACGGGCTCAGCACTTTGCCATAGATGAATCTCATTAGGCCATCTATGCGCTACCGACCTTCGACAGTCTCTCAATTGCTTAGCTGCGGTGCTATCAATAAAAAAGTTAAGCTAACTAAAAATCAGCACCTATTCACCTTATTCTTGCCCCCAAGTCTGATGGGTCAACACGTTTGATTCTTTTCCTCAAGACGCTATGTCTGTTTATAGGGATGGGACACTTAAGTCTTGGCTAACGAACTGGGATCAAACTTCTCCCTAGAGATACTTTCTTAACGAATCTGGATTTGGAATATGCAGAGATTTTGGTACCCGTTAGGGACAGTCATAGAATATATTTCAGATTCATATTCAAATGACAGCTCTTCCAATACAATGATGTACCGTTTAGGGTAAATTGTGCCCCTCATGTGTTCACAAAGTTAATAAAACCATTTCTGGAATACCTTAAGAAAAAATTGAGCACTCCCAGGCTCAGTATCAAATTGTGACAGAAAGAAAGTAACTTTACTTGAGTAACTTGAACCTAGTAAGGGCTAAAATGGACAGCAACCAAGACAGAGTCCGGAACTTGCGGTGAACATCCTGATCTTGGTGTCAGCTTGTCTTTCATTTCGTTTCAGCCGACTATACACTAACGAGTGAAATTTCTTGTCTTGTAAAATTTTCAAGGGAATTTTAACGCTACAATGCCAATAACATAACTTAAGGTCTACCTCAGCTGGGGCTCAAACAAACTGGCGGATGCGGTCAGAGGTATTGAATTATCCAATTTTTAGTTGTATAATTTCTCGGACTGGGACATTCGTTGGCCAGCGAAAAGTCTCTAGTTTTTGGCCAGCCGAGAAGAAGATCCCACATGCTAATCATCAAGAACCACTGGTAGTTTTCTTATGTGGTGAAGGCTTTGCTATCGAATTGATGGGCTGTCGCATATCATACCCCATCCTACATCAACAGAATGAAGAGCTTCCAGTTTCCATGTCTGGACCAGGTTGCGGGAAAACTATAGCAATTGTGTAAAGAGAGAAATCTTACTGCCCGCGCGTCAGATATAAAATCTAAGAGTAATACTGATACAGTGGGACGTCGAAACCTAGTGGGAGCTACACCTGTCACCGCCCTGGTTTTGGATCAAGTATTCGGTGTTTCTGAAATTTCACTTCTAGAAGTAACGCAAGGCTAGGATGGAGGGACCCAGGACGCCACTCCAAGTAATTCTGAAGCTTACCCTGGTTATCGTCACTGGAAAGCTGTCATTCCAATCAGCATCGATAATCCATCATGAATTGTGGGCTTAGATTACGGTAGGACCTTTCTCGGGAAGAAATACATGTCTGGTGTTCTACCTTGAAATTTCTTACCCCCTGGTGATACGAGATCAAGATATAATTGTTTGAGCTATCAGTCTTTTACCCAAAATGTTACTAACGATGCAGACATAAGGTGGTTTTTGAAGGGCATTTACAGGCTGAGGCCATCTCAACTGAAATATAGATACTGTGGTTGTTCTCAACCAACCAAAGGGGTTGCTTGTAAGCTCTGTAGATATTTGAATGAGGAAATCCGCAACACTGCTAGCTCTAACATCAGGTCAGAGTGTGCAAACTAAATGAAACAGACGACATCGGGATTGGGTTGAATAATATTGAAATTGGGATTTCTCAGTTTTTGAAAGTCTCGGGATCACTCGTGTGGCAACCACTTTTAGTTTTACCGTATTTTACGCCCAAATATCTGTGCAGTCAAAGTATTTATTTGTCATTGTACAGTAACTTTATCATGGTGTCTCTGCTCCCAGATGGATGAAGTCGGTTTTAGCAGAGAGTACCACAATTGACAGCCCACAGTACATGAAATGCGTCTACCTCTCCTCCTGCTAAATTATAGTAGTCTCAGGCTCGCGGCGGGCTGGAGTGCGTTTTCTGAGATACGTGACAAATCTCTTATGCCAAGCAATAGCTTTGCTCAAGCGGCATTTGAGGTGAACCAAGTCAAGTCTCCATATCTTAAACATAACTACATTATTTGCTTATTACCATGTAATGGATGGTAATTTTTGAACCAGGTACGTTATATTAGCTGTTGCTAATAGCCCTAACTTGAGTTGTTACAATGGAAATGTATACTGCGTACAATTTGTGTAGTTGTGTACAACCTATCGTTTACTATTGTAGAGCGTTAGAAGTATGTTGTTGCAACTAGCTTTGAACATCTACGATATGTATTCTAAATATTTACTTCGACGAGGACGGAACATAATTGCATGATCAAACGAACTTACCTGTAAGTGATGTCCGATCTTAATTATTGCAACAACTTGGCTTTGAAGAAAACGAAGGTTTATAGGCAGCCAGAGGGGTGGAAGGTAGGGGGAAAGGTGCCCGTGGGGGTTGGGTACTACTATGAGGGTACTACGATATGTATTCTAAATATTTACTTGGACGAGGACTTCACATAATTAAGGTCGAACATGACTAACAGGTAAGTTCGTTTGATCATGTAAATACGCAGTCTTAGATAAACCTTCATGTCCAAATAATCGCATTCTGCTGGTTGGGGTGACATTCAATTCAACCTAACCTTATGTTTTAACACGTTGACTGCGATATCGGTCTCCGGAGACCGATATCAAGCTTCATTGTAATGCGGAGCTCGTTTTTTCAAATATTCGTTTTGGTGCGGAATGCATATTTTCGTTAGTATACAAGTTATAAAAGCGAGACATGTAGCTATAAGATCATCACAACTTGTAGAATCAAAAATTAAATAATGACGATATCGGTCTCCGGAGACCTACACCGCACAGACAGATTCAAATAATTAGTAGACGTCGGTATAGGTCTCCAGAGACATATACATAATCTTACGGACAAACGCGTTCGATCCTGTTTCGCCGTCATTTGTGTACCGAATTCGAGTGGATGAAGTTGTGTTTTAGATTTACTCTCCGAAAATGTTTTCTTCCCGCGTTAAAAAAATTATGGAAATAACAAAAAATCTACAAAATACTGGAGCATTGCCCACAGATGTCGACACACAAACAAATACACCTGAAAATGAAATTGAAATCATTGAAGCAGAGTCATCGGACGATGAAAATCAAATAAATAGTCCTGGAAGAAATTATCTTACAAGTGGAGATGAATTTTCCGACTTTGGGAGTGATGATTCTATCATAGATAAAGACTATTACCCATCTTCGTCGGATTCTGATGAAAATCCACATAATCTGTTTGATGATACAATCGAAGGTAATAGATATTTCCAACACAATGTCTGTTTCTGTTGTTTCAGTTTTATTTTTTTTATTTTCCATCCAGGCAGTGCCGCCGAGGTCGATGATTTCGATTCAAATACAGCTGATGAAAATGAAGCTAATGACACCACAGATGATGAAAATGGAAATATGCCGCATGTTGGGCTAGATACTAATAATTGGCAAGACATTGTTGAAGGTACCTTTTAACGTCTGTAATGAGTCAGCTGAACTTAATTTTGACGTTAGTCAGATTTTGAGTCCACTGGATGCTTATAAACTTTTTGTGACTGACGACATTTGGCATATCATTGTTGAAGAGACAAATAGATACGCCCAACAAAGCTTAACAGGACGAAGAAATTCAAAATCCAGATTAAATGTTTGGGTGGACACAGATAAAAACGAAGTCATGCGTTTTTTCTCAATTATCCTAGTAATGGGTTTTAACTCACTTCTGTCAGTTAATTTCTACTGGTCAAAAGATCCTATGTTCAGAAATGAGTTTATAGCAAAGACAATGCCACGTGATAGATTTCTCCTTTTACTTCGATTTTTACATTTTTGCAACAACGAAGACCCATTTTTGGATACTAACGACAGGTTGTACAAAATCAAAAACGTATTGGAGGTACTTAACAGGAATTTTCGAAATGTTCTGACTCCTGGGAGAATTCTGGTTATCGACGAGTCTATGGTTCCTTTCAGAGGTCGATTAAAATTTCGCCAGTATATTCCTAATAAAACGCACAAGTATGGTGTCAAACTTTATAAATTGTGTGCTGTTGATGGATACACAGTCCAAGTTATTATATATACTGGAAAAAATGAAAAGGTTGAAGGCCAACAGCATTCAGAAACGATGGTTTTAGAACTTCTAAAATCTGTAGAAGCTAAAGAAGGGCATTATCTTTTTGCAGATAATTTTTATAGCAGCTTGCCTCTAGCAAAAAAACTATATGAGGAAAAAATTGTCTACTGCGGAACACTACGTGCAAATAGGAAAGGAATCCCAAAATCTTTCCAAAAAAAGTTAAAAAAAGGAGAGACGTACGGTCAACAAAATGGGTGCGTTAAAATTATAAAATGGGTTGATAAAAGACCAGTTTTAATGCTGACTACCAATCCTACTCATATTAGCACTGTTGAAGCAACTGGAAAAAAATCAAGAAAGGGTGAAGATATTGTAAAGCCTAAGTGTGTTACAGATTATAACAAAGCTAAAAAAGGAGTTGATTATAGTGACCAGATGTCTTCATATCACTCGGTTCTACGTCGAGGCCTAAAATGGTACAGAAAAGTTATGAATGAATTTTTATTTGGAACATGTATCGTAAATGCCTGGATCATTTTCAATCGGATTTCAAAGAAGAAAATGTCAATAACCGAATTTAGAAAAACATTAGCGGAACAGTTAAGAGATCCTCCTACAGTTGTTTCCGAACCAACAACACGTAAAAGGATTCACACTTTCAGAAAACCAACTGGCCCAGGAAGAAAAAAAAAAGGAAGATTTGTAGAGGATGCTATCAAAACCTTCGGACAACTGTATCCAGCCGTGAAGCAAATAAGAAAGTCACCAAAGTAACAAGTTTTTGTGAAGATTGTCCCGGAAAACCTGGCATGTGTCTTCCCTGCTTCGATAAATTACACACATAATAATAACCTTTGTTGCAATAAATTCATCTAACAGCACATTTATGATTTAAATATTATATTCTTGAAATATATTGTTTGGTTTTACTGGTAAAATATCAAAATTTGAAATAAAATGAATATAAGTGTTATATGTATGCTTAAAATCCATCTAGCCATTGATGCGGTATAAGTCGTCAGGGACTTATACGGAGCCAAACTTACCGTCACCTAGAATATATTTACAGATTTCTGCAATTATTTTTCGATTCTGGTTTGAACATAAAATGTTAGAGGGCTTTAGTTAAACGCTTGCCTATCGGTCTCCGAAGACCTATACCGTGTCAGAATAATGTCATACTATCGGTCCCTGGCGACTTATATCGCACTGAAAAAATAGTAATTTGTACCACCAGCTGGTTTAGTAAATCGCACCGGTACCATTAAACAAACTCGTGTATTATTTTTCCGTCACGCATCGGAAGGGTTCAAAATATGGAAAATGGTGCGAGAAAACATGAAATCGGCAATAAAACTGCACAAAACGTGAAAACTTGGACTTAACGTCTAAACAAATATTCTCAGTTACTCAGTTAGTCGTAAGGATAATGTTCAAAATCGGAGATTCCTATGTGTGAGTTCAATAAATGAAACTTTTCATTCGTACGTATATTTCGCTCTAAAACGTTTAAATTGTCACGATGTTTCGGTTTACACACCTGTTTCACTAACAATGAAAATCGTATGCGTTTCAGTGTACAATTTACAAACCGCGCGGTACAACTCAACGAGTGGGTTCGATACATTGTACCGTTTGCAACATTTTTTTAAAAAGCTTATCATTCTGAACTCTGAGTATTCACATTAGCCTTGAGTTGTACATTTTGACAAAAACACCCCAAATTATTTTACTCTGAAGTTTCGTTCAATCCGGACAAGACATTGAGGAGTAATTTCAAAAAATATGTAAGGTGGTACAAATTACCAGACTTAATCCTTTGTGCGAAGTGTTGCCCTACAGGGATCTATTTTGCAAACTTAATCTCAAAATAGCGGGATGCTGACAAAGAGTAAACTCAAACCTAAGCAAGTGGCGCCCTGCTATATCAGTGTAATGCTTTTAGCCATATCTTCTGCATTGCTATGATTGATTAGTTTCTGAGAAAATCTCAGTAGTATTTATATGAGAATCATCATATTTTCTAATTTAGTTTCAGAAAAAAATTTATAGTAATGCTATGTCATGGTCATATGAAACTTTTAAAACATTCTCTCAAAATTTAAAGAAATTCCACCGTCTTTTTTTCTTGAAAGATAATAAACCTGTGGTTTCTATCGTATCCCCTATCATAAAGGAAAACAATTGAATAAATGTTAATTAAAAACTGATTATTTGAAACTTGCGCTGCTAAAACCCTACAGGAGGATCAGAGGGCAGGAATGCTTTTGAAATATTTAGCAGACGGTCCACGTACAGACTGACTTCGTTGTTATTTTAAGCATGTTACGCGAGCGTTTTGGCCAGCGGTTGTGGATTAAAATTGCGCTAGTAACACGTTAACAAACATCGCACCGCCACTGGTGCTTTGTATCGAAGAAGAGATAGTGAAGGGTATTAATGATAAAAATATCGAAATTGCATTCCTATATGTCAATGGCTCGTGTCGAATCAGAGTCCAGAATGGCTTCACGGTGTTTTCCACTGGCGTGTATGTAAATTTCGTTATTATAGCCTGCACTTTTATTTGTCATTTCCTTTCTAGGTGCCGACTATACAGTTCTCAGAGGGTAATATAGTCTCTAATAGCACAATTTATGCACTCTGCCTTTACAGGTTTGCGACATAAAATTATCTGAATCGAGGCGCATCTTGTAATTAAGAGCAGAGTAATGTGCATCTTAGGTTTATGTCTTAATTTTATTTCTCATTAGTCATATCTTATCTGGAAATACACATAACACACAAATGTTATATAAATGTTGTAAACATAATTCATCTTATTAACGAAGAAATTGCGTACTCTGATAGGACTTTATTATTGCCGATATCTGAAGAGATTTATTCATTTACTTCCAATGCCAACTGGTAGGCAAGTATTGTAATCGCGAATATTTTCGAAAACGAGATATTATCGTTTTTGGAAGTAACATAACATGTACATCACGAAAAACAATGCCATTTCTGTCAGTCTGTCTGCTAATTTTATAAACAATTACTTTAAAAGTACCGTTCAGATTTCTACGAAATTTTTACACAATGTTACTATTAGACCTAGAACGCAAAAGCTTTATAGTTTTTGAAAATCATTCGACAAACTTCGACATCATAAATTACACGCTGCCTGGATCAATTCTAGAAATGTGTTTAAACTTTTTGATCAGAGTCAGTGGCGGTCTTCTATACTATTCTGTGTCCTTAAAAATTTCCAAACATTGTGAACATTAAGACACCTAACAGTCTAAATTAACTGATCTTCTAGGGTGGCATGTTGCCAGCGACCGCCTTGCCGCTTATCTGTCGATAGGCGATAAGGAGGCCCATTCGACCCACCCAGGTCGAAATAATGATTATCTCAAAAAAGGCTTATCTCTGGCTTTGTTGATACTTAAATAAAACGCCGCTCCTGCAAATAAATTGGTACCGTTTACATTGCGGCGGACGGGTACCCCGCACCAGTATCAACATTTCGGATAGTTTTCGGTTAGTTCTGGCACCTTTCCTACGTTTGTTTTTGGAGAATGCATTATACGGGACAACTGATTGTCTCAGGTAAAAGAATAATAATATAGTCATCGGGTCGGTAGAAGAATGAGATCTTGAAAGTTGATAGACGGGTAAGATATGAAAATAGGGAGGCAGCGCTGTACAGGATACATGTGAGTTCACCTTAACAGGGGAAACATTCTTACTGTGATTCTGTGGACTGTTCTAAAACTATTTTGTGGTTACCTGATTGCTCAAGAAGTAACACTTCTTATTAGCAAACATTACATTGAAGTCTTTAAATTCTGTTAAAAGTACCTAGATGCATCCATCTACAATGAGAGGTTATAATCTCTGATTCACAGCTGTGGAATTTTTAGCACCAGCTCATGGGTGCCCGGAGATGGGACTAGGCGAACCTTTGCCCCCGCTGGGAATCTGGCTGTCTGATAAAATCTACCTATTAAGCACATTTTTGTATATCATGTTTAAGATTTTAACAGTTGCTTCTCCCCTTCGAGAAGATTTGCTCCCTCTCTCGGCCTTTTTTAATTATCGGGGACGAATACATAATCATAATATACAATAAGCTTTTCTTGTGGATGTCCATTTGCGGTCCCCTCTGAGAAAGGTTCCTACGGACGTCCATGCAATATGGGTGCTCGTGAGCTTGTTCACATAAGTATGAGGAGACTATTAGTTAGGTTGAGAAGATCCAGGTTTATGACCTGAAACTTCATGAGTTTAGTAAATACATTTCCAGTGGACATTTGGGACAGTTGGAACTAAATAGGGAATTACAGTGGTAGGGTAAAGTAAGGTAAACCGTACCGACTTTAAAATTTTTGACCACTGTACTCAAAAATTAAACTCTTTATTGATAATATTATTATACAAGCACAAATAAACATTTAGCTTTCTATGAATCAAAAGTTCAACTGAACCAAATAACATCTTGTACTTGTGCTTGCAAGTGGTACGATTAAGCGATCAGGTTGGTTTAATTGTACCATCGGTTTTTAAATCGTACCACTAATTTGTCATCACAGTTCTTGCACACATATTTTTGTTTTGTTTTTTGGTTTCCGGCACATGATGTGTGGGCCCATTTTAATACATCTCGCCATATCTTCAATAATGTTCTGTTCACATATAAACCAGTACCAATCAGTAGGATCATATTCAATTTGAGCTTTTACCTCGGCAGATATTGAAGTGGAAGACTGACCGTCACATGCTTCAAAAAGAGAAGTAGAAGAAAGCTCAAGATTTTTTTTTACTTTTTTTGGTTGATTTTTGCATTTGGTTACGTTTGTTTTCTAATTCATCCTTATAGGGCGTGGTGCTCAGAATGGCGGCTGGTTAAGAAAATTTTCGTCTCTTAGCGTAACCCTTATTCTCGGGTAGAGGGTAAATTTCCTCAATAGAGGTATTGAGATCTGTTGTGTTGCAATTTTTGTTTTGTTCAATACTATCACTGTGAACTGGTGGCTCAGTAGCATCGTATTTAGGCTCAGAGTCGTTTCACGTAGATTTTCTGCCTCTGAGTCCTCAGTTGCTTTTTCTGAATCATTTTCAATCAAGGCATTAGCAGCGATAAAATCTGTTTCAGAAAATACAGTGCGGCCATATTCCAGTCGTTTTGAAACCATTCATGATAGTGCTTATTGATGATGTTTTTGCATAGGCATCAGAGAGCAATCCAGTCATGTTGTATTGAGAAACAGCGTTACCAGGACTGCTTCTTAAAAATGTTCCTAGACCTTGACAAAAATAGGATTCCATAGGCTTAAAAAAGCTCACGTCTAACGGCTGCAACCGATTTGTAGTATGGCCAGAAAGTTGCAGTAGTACAATTCCATTACTTTTTGCTAAAATGAGTGCCTCTAGATTTTTAGAGTGCGTTATGTGGCCATCTAGTAAAAGTAATTCTTTTTGTCGGGACTTGGTTTTACGTACTCAATGAAGTGCTGTAACCATTTAACAAAAAATTCACTGTTTATATATCCAGTATCTGAAATTGTAACAATAGTGCCAGGTATTGCACCTATGGTAAGCTCTGGAGCCATACGTTTTCTCTTAAATATTATCATGGGCGGTACAGTCTGACCGGCAGCACTGGCAAAAACGACAACTTTGGTATTTACGCCCCTTTCACCAGATGCTATACCTCCAACTTGGCGCTTTCCTCTACGCGCAATTATTTTTTGATTCCGTTTCTGAACTGTTGTAAATCCACTTTCATCAAC